AAGAGGTTACGATTTTTTTTATCACGTAAAATCATGAATTCGTGTTTATGTTAAGAGAAATTCTTCGATGAGCTCATTTACGATACCTCCATAATTATTGAAATTGTAGACCTTGGCAGTGGAGAAGTTTTTCTTTTACAGACGAATTTCGATTTTATCTTTACGGAAATGATACTAGAATTTGAATTTACTGACGTAGACGAGAGCATTGTGAAGCAAATCACGTTGATCCAACTCGAGCGTTTAGTGGAGAATCTGTTCTGGTATGGGCTAAACTATTAAGGAACCATCGATCAGATCTAATGATTCTCTCATCCTTAGGACTAACAGGGGATCGTTACATAAACGAATGTTTTGCGTCCGTCCGTAATTCCAATGTGTCGGCAAATGGGCCGTAAATTCATCTTGATACAGGATAATGCACGCCCTCATACTGCAAGGACAACTTGTACTTACTTGGCAGAAAATAACGTAGAGATATTGCCTCATACAGCTAATAGCCCAGACCTCAATTCTATAAAGTATATGAGAGATGATGGGTAGGCGATTACGTAAATTATAGAGATCTCCCGCTAACCTTTAGGGTTTTGAGAGAATCCTAAATTAAATTTGGCACGAGATATTTTAAGATACTACCAGAATATGCATTAATATGTGAGAACGTTTAAGAGAGGTTTTCCGTCACCGAGGTGACACTACACTGTATTACATGCCAAAGGCACATACGGTTTGGAGTCACAAAATACTGTGGAAGTAACAGGCCGCGAGATCCCTAATTTGAGAAATCATTCATACAGTCGGCCCTTTTTAGGGCAAAAATGATAAGTAACCGATTAACAACCTCCTCGCAATGCGCATTGGGTAATGCTAATGTTGACGATATTTATGAAAAACATAAGATTTTCTTAAAAACGGTCAAAAAAAATTGTTTAAAATCAATTTTTTGAAGAACTTGTTAAAAAGTGCACTTTACGATGAAGTTCGAATAATTAAAAAAAATTAGAATTATCCAAGTAACGTCCGAACTATCAAATTTTTTAAGAAAGCATAGTTACTGAGCCTGATCAAGACATAGAAATGTGGCATTAACTGGCACGTATTTAACATATTTTTTGTATAAATATACAGATAATGTCCTTTTAAATGAAACAAAAATCAACTCAATACGATGCAAATTAATGGAATTACAAGCAATTTATCGATGAAACTTTTTATTCCAAAAATTTTGTTGCGTAGTGTATTTTAATTGTTATTTGATAGTACTTTAGGTAAATATTCATTTTTGGTAACTTAATCAAGAAGATTTTTTAACGGATTTATATTTAAACTCCATTTACAAATATCGACGGTGATTAGTTTATTGTATTTTTCTTTTTATTTTATGTTTCAAGTAAATAATAGTTTATTATTTTAGTCATGTTATTTCTTTCGAACTGTCGTTATTATTTTGATGGTCTTTTAAAATATATGTATGAAAATTATGATAATGCAAGTTACTGGAAGCCAGGCTTTAGTTTTAATGATTTTTATTAAACTGCACGAGACGTACAAAAAAGCAAGATCAATAATGCAATACAACTTGTCAGTTTGCAATCTTAGAGTGATCTAATGATCTGACAGTGTCACTCTGAAATCATATTTGAAAACAAAGATGATCTCATAGAAAAAAAACAAACCGAGAAAATTATGAGCATTTATATTGTTCGAATAAAATAATTCAACAAATTAATTGTTACGTTTTCGATATTTAATCTTTTTTGGAATTCACTTTACTTTTATTTTCAACATTCGCGACATGAATTTGGTGGAAGAGAAGCCCCTCGTTGTCAAATAAGCACAGTATTATCGCTTTCCGATATTCACTTTGTTTCAAAACATTAGTTGCACGAAGTCTAGTGCTTATAATAAATGGAAGTAATCAATGCTATCTTGTGACAACCTTGAAATGACCTTGAAAATCATCTTCAAGACTAAGGTAAGGTCACCAAAATATGTTCCCTTTGAAGCCAAACAACTTTTGAGAAATCTTGCTAGGCAAGGTGAAATAGGACGCTATGTATATATATGCGTCGTTTTTTATAGACTACTCATGTTTTTTGTATGTCTATGGATTAATTAATTAACAATTTTAATAATTAATAACAATGCGAATCATCCCTTACTCGTGACTATGAAAAAAATTACAAAAACCTTACAATTTCAGAAATGTACTGGTATAACTTAAAATAATTTTTTTGTCACACACCTAATCCTCTTTCAGTTCTTTAAAATACGATTAAGATTTGAACTTGACAGAATTTGACGTTACTTTAGTTAACTGGATTATATGGTTAACTTTTTTATATATGAGTAATATACGATAGAGAGCAATTCGCTTATGAAATGATGGGCAACCAAAAATTGTTTTCTAGTCTAATTAAATTCCTTTATGACTTGAGATGAAGTAAAAAATATTGTTTCCAATAATTATGTAACAAGTGACTAATTTGTATTCATCAAATATTTGAATATTCCCGCTGTCTACAGCGTTATTTCTCCCTTCTTCTGCTACCACTATACCAGAGTCACAGTTTAAAACGAGTCGTACTCGCGACATTCGAAACTTGTAACGGAGAATCACGGCTCGGCCGATCTTTTACGTTTGGGCTCTCGTCAGCGTCTGTGCGCAGCACTAAGAATTGTGTGCATGTGTGTGTACACTCTTATATCTATTTTTTTCTGTTTGAAGTGCAGTGCGGTGCGAGGTGGTTGGTGGAACCGAAAATAAGCGATGGAGAGAAGATAGAAGGATGATGAGATGAAGAGCGGAAAGCTAGAAAGATAGAGAGAAAGAGAGAGAGAGAAAGAAAGCTTGCGCGTGTAGCTGAGCGAGAGGAAAATTGACAGTTAATTGATTTAATTCTCGAAATAAGAATTACATACGTCAGTTTTCCATCGTTTTTTTTTTCGAGGTTGATACGCCAGCTCGCCAATATTTCTTTGTCGTGGTTGCACGTTGAATACGCGAGGGGTGTTCAAGAGTTATTATTGTCGGTATGTTTGAGAAGCACCCAATCAACGTTTGTCCTCGGGATCGTAAATGTGAGTATCGGCGAAGTACGCTTTAATGGCGCTCGCAGCCATTTGAACGAACAGCGACGAGGCAGAGCAATAGCAAAGCAACAAGGTAAATGCCGAGCAGGGCAACGAGACAAGTAACGAACAAGGCAACAAGGAGTAAGGTAACGATAGCGGTAGCAACAACAGTAGCTTCGGTCGTATATCTCTTGTATATCAGGACGCCAATTCGGTAAGCGTATGACAAAGCAATATTGCTCATTCCGCTGTTCCTGTCAATCGTTGGCACATGTCATTGGGTTTTTCATGCAGGTTGAAGAAATAGTATTACCTTTATTCTCTTTGAGTGTATGATATATTCCATTGTAGCACGAGAATGCAATCATATATAAATTTAGTCATTTATGAGTAAAGACCTTAATATTACGTTTGTGTCAGTTTCTAATAAGTATCTTAAATCGTTTTCTATATCGGATTTGTTCTTTACAAATTACGTACATACATTTTAATAGAATTGTTACCAATTACGTATGATGAGGTTCCCGAAATTGCTGATGAAACTTTTTACAAAAGCAAATTGCAAGTGAATCATTTTGACATTTATTTTTTCCTCGACGATCAAATTATTTATAAAAAAAATAATCGTAATATTAAAGACTTGTAAGATTCGTAAGATTAAGATTAAATCAATAAGATTACTTACGTTAATGCGAAATAAAAATCTGACAAGAAAAAAGGAAAAAATATATAACTCTCCAAAAATGTCTATTAATGGAATAAATACTCTTATCATAAAATATGTCAAAATATGGATGTGTTGCCTTGCTTCATTTTTTAAGTCGGTATGAGATTAAAAGGTAAAAATACAATTTGTTTTCCATCAAGGATTAACTTCGAGCAAATTTATAGAAATATTCAGAATGATAATATTTCACGCTTAATTTTACACACTTGAAGTTTATAAATTGCTAGTAGTTTAAGAGAGCAATCACTTAATAGTTATTTCATTTCTACCATGAAATAACTAGAACAATTACTATTGCGGTTATTAAAATACGAGACAATATTAGAATGCCAGAGTGAATTTTAGAACAAGGGAAAAGGAGAAAAGAATCTAAGGAAAAGTTCAGTAATTGGTGTAAGTGATTCTCGAAAAATTTCTAGACTTTTTTAAGTTGATCTCCAGATTACAGAGTGAAACCTATAAAATGAGGATCCCATATGAGTCATATGACAAAGTATTAAGCATTAAAAATCGATTAAGACGATGTTAAATAATGAAGATGATAGTCTAATCTTAAATAACTAGGATGACCTGGGTCGTGATGAATCAGACACACTAAAAAAGATAAAGTTTCTTATAAAAAGCAATTGATCAAAGTATCGTTGAAATCATAGAAAAAAACTGTACAATATACGTAGGGATATTTTTCAAATAATTTAATAATAAATATAATAATTTAAAATAATATAAAAAATTCTTATGTTTTCACTCCTGATATTTGATGATTTTATTTTATTAAATTTCTGATCTTAGGAGTTATCCCAGTACAGGAATAACTCCTAAGATCAGAAATTTAATAAAATAAAATTTAAAATAATAATTTGAAAAACTCATCAAACTTCCAAAATAAAGCATTGAAAGCAAGCTTATTTAATTTTTTCACAATTGGAAAAATTCAATATTAAATGCTAGGACTTAAACTTAATAGTTAACCATAATATTATACGTTAACATACCATATTAGAATTGATATAACAAAAAATGTTAAAGGACTAACATAGAAGGGATAGTTATTTGGAGAGAGGTACCCGAAAAAGTTATCGTATTATATAATTCAACTATTGTAGACAAATTTAGATTATGTTCTTCGTCATTTGATATACATTCTTTTTCAGCAATCTTAATGGGATTTAATATTAAGTTTGCTTATTTTTATTACCTTTTCTGGCGGTAAATTAGTTCTTCCCATTGCTGTTGACTCTATCCAAGTATCAAGAGTATCACAAGCTACTCGTAAATCACTTTCATTAAATTCGTAATGTTTAGCCCAACCTAACGGTACATAACGTAAACGTTCTTGTACGATAGCGTGAAACCATGCTAACAAAAAGTATAATCTTGCTCTTTCATTTGGTTCTTTCATCATACGTGATGCTGGTACAGTACTAAATGTCCTCAGTAAATTAGCTCTAATTCCTGGAGGAGGTTCAAATACAAAAATCCGCCCAGCTCTCAATAGATTAACTGGTACTTTAGAATTGATTTCCATAGTCAAAAATAATCTGAAATTATTATGAGGTTGAATGCTATGTAGTTTTTTCTCTAATTGTACAAGCCATTGAGGTGCTAGATGAACATTTTTCAAAAGAACCCATCTGCCAGCTTTCACGGCTATATTTATAGCTCTGTCTGCTTGAGTAAATCCTTCAGTTGATCCAATAGCTATGCTAACAATTGATTTTCCTAAATCAGCTGCTAAATCGTCTATTCGGCTAGAAGCATCAAAACCCGGAACTGAACATAGTAAAGCCGGTACAGATGATTTTAATTCGTTCTCCACTACATAAGAAAAATCTAATTCGATTTCAGCAGAATTCATGAATGATCCTCCTAATACTGAAGTAACTACAAGAGATGCTGCTGCAATCACCCGATCTGGTCTGCAAATGATAAGCGATCATTAACAATAGAACAGTAACCTTTAATTATTATATACATAATAATGATAACTTTAATTGAATCAAGATTAAAATATGAGGGATGATTTATAATAATGATTTAACTGAAGTTAGTAGTACAGCTGATGATTAAAATTAAGAAACGTTCTTATCAACATATGGTTAAGATATATATTATATTATACGAGGTCTCTCCAGAAATAATCGGGCCTACGTTTATATCTTTGCGCCATAGTATTCGAGCGACATCTACCGGATAGAAACGTCAACAGTAAAGCCTCACGAATCTATTGGTTACTTTGTGACGGGCGAATCGATTGTTGAGTTCGATCACCCTGTCCGCCTCTCTCTCTCTTCCGCGTGCCTTCCCCTGAGCCGCTGCCACATCGGTCTTGGTTGATTAAAGCCGAGTATCGACGCACGATGTGGCTTTGTTGCAGGTTTGATTCCTGATCGGCGGAGATGTCTGGCGTTGGAGGGATAGGGCAAGAGCGGAGAGCAGGGGAGGAGAGAGAGAAGTAGTGTCGCCGGCATGAGTCGCACATGTGTGCGTAGCCGGCGGCGCTCGGCCGTTTTTGAGTACCTATAGGGAGGAGGGGCGAGTAAGACGTCGCGGAAGGTGCGAGATCGCAGTCAGTGCGGCTTCAACTAGCAATTAATTTGGAGAGTTGAGCCTCGCAACCGAGAAGTGTGTGCGATAAGCAGATTGAGTGAACAGAATAGAAAAGGAGGACAGGACCATCTGCATCCATTCAGAAACCCGCATTTCGAGGACGACATCGTTGGCCCAGAAGACGCGGACTTCTGCAGCAGCACTCCCTCCCAAGGTCAGGTATCTTTTTTGTTTCTCGGTGCGTGCCTCGATTTCTCTCTCTCCGAGCATCGTATAGGCCGGACACGGACGAGCGGTTGCATGCGTGAACTCGCATCGCCCTCGCGGAATTCGCGGGACAAGTTGTAAGGTGATGTTCTGTCTCCTGTGCGTTAATTCGCACGGAACGAACTTAGCCCTGACTCGGCCGACGCACACGTCGAACGCTGTATGTACGTTATTGTTGTAATAAAGTGTAAAATAGCTGAACTGATGAGTTTATTCTGTTTAACCTGTCTCTCTCGTAATTAGTTACATTGCGATTATTGATATTACCGGACGACATAGCCCTCGTTAATTTTCCGCAACGAAGCGAGTGTGCCTTCCGAGCCTTTCCCCTTAAATAATTTATGACGCAACGTTGTTCGGGCTTAAATTATTAACGTACGTGTTACAACTTACTGACACCTGCCGGACGTATATTTCATACGCAGCGTGTCTTTGTTTACAGTGTCTTTTTCGCGTTCGTCGGATTTAGATATTGTCAAAAATGATTGAAAAACAAGATCAACGAATTTGCGTCAAATTTTGCTTTCAACTCGAAAAAAACGAGTTCGGAAACTATTGAAATGATGCAAAAGGCCTTCGGAAGAGAGTGTATGAGCAAAACACGAATAAAAGAGTGGTATAAACGGTTCAAGGATGGTCACACTTCTGTCGATAGTGATTCTCGTTCCGGCTGACCTTTGACGACAAAAACCGCAGATAATAATAATAATAATAATAATAATAGAGCGGGTGCGACTTACAATCGAACAAGATCGTCGTATGACTGTGCGAGAACTAGAAGAAGAACTTGGGATACCAAAAACTATCATTTCAGAAATTTTAACCGAAAATTCAGGAATGAAACGCGTGTGTGCGAAATTCCTCCCAAAATTGTTTACAGCAGAGCAGAAGAACATTCGCTTAGAAATCGTTCTGGACAATCTGGAAAGGTTAATAATAATAATAATGTGCTTAGAAAAGTTATTACAGGTGATGAATCATGGGTTTATGGTTATGATCCTGAAACAAAACAACAATCTTCACAGTGGAAGCATTCTGAATCGCCAAGACCAAAAAAAGCACGTCAAAGTCGGAGCAATGTTAAGTCAATGTTGATTGTTTTTTTCGATTGTGAAAGTGTTGTACATGACGAATATGCACCAACAGATCAGATAATCAATAAAGAATACTACGTTCAAATTTTGAAACGTTTGCGTAATGCAGTAAGAAGAAACCGGCCGCACTTTTGGGAAAGTGGTGACTGGCTCGTCAGCGCATTCATCCAATCTTGTGTAGCAGTTTTTGAGTAAACACAATATCGCATTGCTTCAACAACCTGTTACGCTACGCCTTTTATTCGAATGGGAGCCGTGCAATGGGCTCTAGCCCAAGGCGTAATCAATTTTTTTATCAGTGGGTATGGGAGGCTATTCGCTCCACTGTAATGGCGACGATGGGCTAATCGTCGCCACGAATCCGTGCCGCACCTAGATTAATAGTTTTAAGAAAAAGAGAGATTCGGGCAGGTTTTTAAATAAACAAAATAGATTTGTGCAAAATAACAATTTCATATATTTTAAAATACAATGTTCTTATATGTAATTACTAATTATAAATTCTGCCGATGCGTATAAAACGCATCGGACTACGCTACGTGCCGTTATCCGTGCGAGTACACGCACAGGACAATATTTCGACCACTGTATAAATTATGAAATGAAAAATTATTATTGTATGCCACGCGCGAGACAAAGAAAACGAAAAACCGCCGAGACAAAGTCCGCTTAGAATGTCGTGCGAATGGAACGCACTGACACTCCGCCGTTCGAAATGATGCGAGCCCGGCAATACAAAGAGAAAGAGAGAACTTTACGTGACCTGAGAGAGAGTGATGATGAGCCGATGTAATCCTTATCTGCTGCCACCGAGACCTTGCTGTTGGAAGCGAGGACAATCTGTTGTCTCTTTGCTGCCCTGCTGCGAAGATGAATGCTGCTGCGAGTCTCTCTCTGACGCTGCAATCTGCCTTGTTGCCACGTCTTTCTGTTTCGCTGCTAATTGTTACTTCCTTCCTTTCTTCCGCACAGGTCACAACTGGCGCGCTACCAAAATCTTTTTCGCCGCGTGCTCGCTTCTCCCACCATGGCTACCCACCGCTAGCTACGCGTAGATATGCGGATAGGCTCATGCTTGCTCTCGCTCTCTCTCTCTTTCTCTCTCTCTCTCTCTCATTCTCTCCAAGCCGACTCATTTTCCCTCTCTCCCGCTCGTCCGCAGTCCGCCTCTCCGCGCCAACCTTAAAGAGACAACATTAGCCATCTATATGGCAATATGCTCGATGCTGTCGCCGAGTAGCAGAGAAGGTGGGAGAGAAACAGACAGAGCCAGCTACTCAATAGCTTATGCTCTCGTCACAAACCTCCATACAGTCCCGACATAGCCCCTTGTGACTTTTGGCTGTTTCCAAAACTAAAAATACCACTCGAAGGACACCGATTCGATGGCAAAACAACGGTTGAAAACAATGCGGCGAGTATACTTAAGGCTAACCCTAAAAGTAAGTTCCAGGACTGTTTTGAAAAGTGGAAACATCGATGGAACCGTGTTATTCAATCAACTTTGAAGGATTCCATCTACCAGATGATAAAGAATAACGCTAGCACGAAAATATAAAGGTAGGCCCGATACTTTCCGGACAGACCTCGTATACCTAGAGATTCATAGTGAACGTTGAGAAGAATAGACGTGTTTGCTTGCGGTGATTAATAAGATTTACAAAAAATAAGATAGAAAATAAAAAGAAAAATGTAATAAGGGATTGAAGGGAAGGAGAGGAGCAAGGAATGTGAAATAATAAAAAAATAAGAAAATATAAGGTAAGAAAAAAGCTGAAAACAGAGGGAAAAGACAAGTAAGATTAGGGATAAAGAAGGAAATCGCGGAAGGTAGAAAAGAGAAAAATATAGAAACATAAAGACCAGCACATAAAAGGGAGGGGACTGAAGGTAGAAACAGATAGTTAGAGAGGGTCAATAAAAGTAGAGATAAAGGATATGTGCACAATAGGAGGCGGCAAAAGTAAAAAAGAATTACGTGGCGGAAAGAAACAAGGAAAGAACGGAATCGAAGGAGGTGGAAGAGAGATATAAGAAGAAGCAGAAAACAGAATGAAGGAATGGTAAGAGAGATGAAAAACGGAGAAAATGTGAAGCGTCAAAAGAAATATAACTGAGGACGAAGTTCAGGAATGAAAGCGAGAAAAGTAGCGGGACCCGGAAGGGCAAGAAAAAATGGGTAAAATTTTTATAGTAGATGCGAGAAAAAGGAGAAGTGATAGCACGAAAAAGGTGTTGATTAAAATTATGAGAGGATTAAGAAAGACAAATAAAGAGAGAAGAGAAAAAAAACATGAAAAAAGTGATGAAAGGAATTGTAGACAGATTTAAAAAAGAGAAAAGAAAAAGAGAAGATAGGAAAAAGTGCTCAAAGAGATAATAAAAAAGCATAACGAGGCGATAGAAAATTAGAGGAGAGAACTAAAAGTGATAAGAGAAAAACTGAGAAAATTGGAGAAAAATACTAAAGACGAACAAATGGCAAGAAAAATAGGGTATAAGAATAAAATAGATAGAGGAAGAAGTAAAGAAATGAAAACACTACATAGAAGGGGAAGAAAAGGAAGGAATAGAGTATGGAATAGAGACCAAGGAGGAAGTGAAGATAATAGTGGAAAAAATAAAGAGAAAAAGTAGCAGAGATAATATTATAATAACAGATTTAGAAGGAATTATGGAGTGTAAGAAGAAATGGGAAGTTGTCAAATGATTGAAAAGAAACCTAAAAATAAAGGGAGATATAGTAATCATGAGAAAAATGGACATGGATATAAGTAGGTAAAGTAATTACGCTCGCTGAAATATAGCGTGATTTGCGCGCAAATGATTAGGCAGTGTAAACGTGCGTGAAATCACGCACTTCACATATCTTTTATACATAGCGGAAGTTCTTGAATTTATTAACGAATTTGTAATAAAGCACAAAAAGCTACAATAAATAATTTATGAAGGAAGAAACAAGCTGGACCATAGAAAAATAGATTATGTCGTTAAATAATAAGGATTTA